CCCTTAAATTCTCTCCTGTTTTGGGCCTGACAGCATGTAGTACATGACTCACCTCCCCAGTCTTGTAGTCAATTACTTCCCTCAACTCCTATAAACATCTACACGAAAAAGAAAATCTACATATTTTTTAGCAATAAATAGGAAAATCAGGACACACCACTTATGGGTTGACTTGTCAGAAAATGGTAATTAACACGTTCCAGCTGACAGTGCCCCTTTAATGAATTATTAGTAATGTTCTCTGAGAACATTAGATGAAAGACACCATAAGAATTTGTACTTAAACCAATTTTCTGCATGATGCAACTTCACTGCACAACAGGAGAAAAATATCCACTACAGAATCAAGCTAAGATAATAAGAAAGTAATGGTCTGAATGATCAGTAAGTAACAGCTGTCCTCCTGTACTGGTTACCTCTACTTCCCTACTATGACCTTTTTGCACAAGTGCTTGTCTAATAATTGCCATCATTTCCTTAAATTCTGTTAAAAACAGCCAGTAAGATGTAACAGCGTTGGTCCTCAGCTGTTGTTAATAAATATCATACATAGGTACAGTAGTGACAGCAGCATAATTTCACTACAGATACAGCAGCACGTAGGGACTGAGCCCTTCTGATACCAGCCACACCAGGGGCTTCTGAACAGCACTCCATGTATTACAGCAATACCAACACAGCCTGCTCATGCTGGGCAGGGACAGCAAGCTCACCCTACAGGTGCTTTTGCCTAAGAGTCAATCTTGCCTTCAAAACCTTCCAAGGCATCTTGATGTGCACAGAACCAGCAGTGATACCTCCTACCCCCACCCCAACCCTCATCACCCTTTGGCAGGGGGAAGGACACACGAGCCTTCCATGACTCATTTCCTTTCATCAAGGTTCTTGCTGGTTTCCAGCTCCATCCAGATCTGTCTGCCTTTCACTCCTCCTTTAGAAATGGAACAAACAGCTCTGAGAATTTGCTTCTCTTGGTGGCAGCTCTGTGGCCCCACCAGGAGCTGGTAGCTAAGCAGTGATATTCTGGGGTGTGAGAGTGGAAAGCTCTTCCCAGCCATGCAGTTCTAAGCATCCTATACCTGAAGGCCACTAACGGCTTCTGCATTTCAGCTGTACTCATCAGCTCACCTGAACACTAAGGAGCGTCTGCATAAGAGCCTGAACTACAGTGGGAAGGAGGGGAGTTTGGCACAGGAACGTGGCTTTACCTTCCTTTACATACAACCATGAGAAAATGCAGTTGCTACAGCACAGCAAGGTGTCTCTTCCTTCAGCAGCACAGCTCAAAGGATGTACTAGCATGATATAGCCCAAGGCTCTACTTCTAGTCTACTGTACATCAGCCTGCATACTGGAGAAGGAGCTTTAAAGCTAAGATTCAGAGCATTGTTATCTCACCCTGCATATCTTCATAAACCTCTGCTACACAGCAGGTAACAGACTGCAGTCAGGCTGTGGGTGGCTGATAAGTTTGCACCCTCCATACACAGTGCTCACAGAGATAAGATGGTTTTATTTGTTTCTTGGTTTCACATCACAGGGTTTTGATATGCAAATGTGCCTCCTCTGCAGCAGCAGCAGCCCACAATAAATGCAAGGTAATTTAAGTTGGTTTATACCTTAATAAACTCCCTCAGATGCTCTCTGTGCTGTCAAGAGAAGTGTGCACACAGAGTAATCACACAGATAACAAACAACAAAACAATGCCTGTTTGAAGCCCTGGGGCTTTCTGTCCCAATGAGGAAAACAAAATTATACAAGAGACCTTCACAACATACAGCTACTGCAATCTGAACAGCCTTGTGTGCGAATGTTCATTAATAGCAAGAGATAAAATAATGGAGTTGGTCTCTCCTCCTTTACTCACTTAAAAGGAGATCTAACCTGGGGATGGGCAGCAGCTCACCCAGTCCTCATTGCATGCTCTGGTATCTCAAGCAGCTGCCTGGGCCTTTCTCACATTTTGAGGGTACACTGAAGCAAAATGAATCTTTCATTACGTTTCCATCACTTCACAGGGACTATGAAAATCTCAAATCACAACCAAGGGCTGCTCTGAATTCTGCACAAATTAGAACAACTGAGCCAAGATCTCCGAGTGCTTATTAGTAACTGAAATAAGAGCTTGTTTACAGGAGTAATGCTCAAAATAGGAGCACTGGTTCCAGAGGAAGGAACCACTGAGTATTTTGGTGATAACATGGCTTTGAATACAAAGAATGGCACAGTGCTCACACTCGAACCTAAATTAAAGATTTTCATTTGCTTCGTACCTGTAGATCAGCTCTTAGTATTTTTCCATCTCAAAAAACCCCCCATTGTACATTCCTCTCTTTTCTCTCCTCACTGTGCTCTTTGCACATAAGTGCTTTTCTTCTCCTCAGATAATGACAAATAAGTTCCTACCAGGACAGCAAGAGGGCACCTCTTAGCTTTATAGTCTCCTGAATCCTGAGCTCCTTTACAATTCTGACTACGATGAGCTGATGCCACGCTGTCAGTGCATAGCAGTACACGTAACAGCTCTCAAAGCACTTGGCAGTCTTTGAATTCATCCACACAACACCCTCATTTTGCTTCCATGTTATGAGCAGGTGGGGAAACAGACACAAAGGGGAAAGCAGCCACCCCACAGCACAACAAAAAGAAGTGGAAAGCCAGAACTAGCCTCAGGTAATTGCAGTCTCCAGAAAAGGTTTGACCACTTGCTTCCCAGGTGCTGCAGACCAAAACCTTCTTATTAGGACAGATTAGCCTTGTTTATACATTAAGACACAACATTCTCCTCTAGTTTGCTCCTCATTGTGAAGTAACAACAGATGTGCTGAATATCACTCTCTGGCCTTGGTAATCAGTTGATTTAATTGGATTTGATTTTTCAAATGTAGCATCTCAAGTCAGCCATAAAGTCTGGAATTAGCATTTCACATCTCTACGCAGAGAGGTTTTAAAGCAGCACAAGGAGATGAAGTCCATGCCCAGTGAGTTTCAAATTACTCTGAGGATGAACTCAGCCATGTGCACGTTAAACTAAAATTGTGCAGGCTCTGAGTGAGTCAGGCAAAGTTATTAATGGCGTACCTTTGCTATTAAGAATGCAAAGCAGCTTTTTGTACCCAGTTTGTTCATATGTCTCTTCACATCAGTGACCCATGTGATGGGTCAATAATTCACTCAGAGTGCACTGGAAGCCAGGAATGTCTTGCAAGTCAATTACACTTATATAAATAATTAGGAGCACAAAAGTAAATGAAGGATTGGAGCAGGAAAAGCTCTGCTGGTGAAACACTGCACACCCCAGGGACAGCAGACTGCTCACATTTTAGATTTGCAGCTGGTCATCCCCAATGCTTCCACAAGGCACTTTGTGTGACCCCAAAATTGCTCTTAAAAGGAGCAGCCCTGAGATGTAATATTTCAGGGAACAATCAGGTTTCTCCTGTAAGTGAAAGCTATTTGCTTTCTGCAAGACGTGGCAAACAGCTGCCAACTCAGATTTGATTCTCAAAATTTGCTCCTGAAATGCTTCACTTCTGTGGCATTTATTTGTAATAAATCACTGGAACATCCTAACCAATCTAACAGGCACAGGTGGACCCTGGCTCTCCAATTCACTTGGATGAGACTCGCTTCAGCAAACCTTGTATGAAAGAGCACAGAGTGTCCTTAATACCTCTACCTTCACCTGAAAAACAGCTGAAAAGTCAGATATATTTTTTTCCCCCCCCAGTCCATAACATGTGACTAAAAACTCACATCAAATGCCAGGACAGGAACTGTAGGCTGTCACACACCCCTTCAAAAGGCACTGGAACAACTGCTGTCACCCACCTCACGATGCAGCAGCCAAGCAGAGATGAGGGAAAGAAACTATTGAGATAAGACTGAAATGGGACAAGATGTTTCTAGACAGCTTGGCTGAACACAGCAGAAATCAAGATATTGGGAACCAGGGGTAGAACAAAATCTGTCAATCAAAGTCTGCAGTGCTGCCAGCATTTGTGATCAGAGCACTGAATGATGAAAGGAAATCTTCTGAACTACTGATGTCTGATACTTTTACTGGTGAACCTCAACTGATTCAACATGCAGCATCAGCCAGCACGTGCCAATCCAGCTTGCAAGCTGCTATGTGACAGAATTGCAGGCATAGTGAGCAGAACAGAGGAGCGTGGCAGATCAGCAGGTAGCAATGATGTGTTACAAGCATCAAAGCTGTTCCTTATACTTGTGGAATAAAATACTCTGGGTAAGGACTGCAGCAGGATAGTGCTCTGAGTTCTGCATAAAAGTGCTCCCAAAATGCAGCCTAGGACAACCAGGGTTTATCCCAGAGCTGTATGCAGGTGAGTGACTGCAGCACAGTGATAGTGCAGCATGCAGCACACGAATCACAAACATTTAATTGAAACCTTAAGCAGCATGCAGCCCTTATAAAAACACAACAGAAAAAAAGAATCAAAGAAACTCTTCCCACTGCCATTTAATCCAGGTGCTTATTTGCCCTTCCCTCGTTTTCCTCAGGTTCGCACAGAGGGAACTGTTACAGAACTGAGAAACAGTAAATGAAATCCTGGCTCTGTGGCTGACTAAACCACAGTGTGTGACCACCCAGCAGGGTGTGCAAGGCTGAGCAAGCAGCCTCTGAGTATTCTCTTACTGCATCTCTATTCTGGAGCTGGCATTAGCTATACCCTGTGATGTAAGTTACTGTGAGAAGACTTTATACCATGGCAGCATTCACTTAATTGCTTTCCTTTAGTGATGTGCAGAGTGCAAAGAGAGCAACATCATGCTCTTCTTGTGCACTGAGTAAGCAAGGGCTTCTGGAAGCTGCTGTAACAATAAGTACTTTCTGTCAATGCTGGGTCCTTCTGTCAGTGTTTTCTATCATACCCAGTGCTGAGCTCTGTTTGGGGTGGCACGGAGCCACTACGCATTTCAATACTCCAACAGTTTGGAAATTCAAATGACAGGAGAACAGTGAATGTTGAGATACCTTGAGATGAGATGCCCAAATGGGATCAGAACCATCGTGGTGTCCCCAGGTGCTCTTGGCCTTGGATAATGGCTGTCAGCTGCCTCTCAGCCCTCAGGGCTTTTGCACAAAGCCTTTGCAGGGCACCGTACTGATGACTGAGACTTGACATTGCCAATCTGTAGAAAGAAATTGCGAGTTAATGATTCAATGCCTTTAATAATTCAGCAAAGAATAACAAAATGAGAATGTACAGAAGTGGCTCACATGACTCTGCCTGTTCTCCCCATGACCTTTGTGGATGGTGTTTGTGCTGCACTGCCTTCCCAGCACACATCCTGTGCAGCACACTGCTTTGCTTACAGACTGCTTTCAGGCAAACAGGTGGAACTCTGCAGTCCACCATCACCACACCTTCACAATTCAATGCCTTTTCTGGCAGCAGAGAAATAGCTAGCAAAAACTCTCCTTTCTCCTTCAGAAAAACTCAACAGAAAGCAAAACACATCATTTCCAGACTCCTCAGTGAGCAGAATACACAGCCAACATAACACTTCTACTGTGTTCAAGCCCTATTTTATTCCTTTTGAAACCACAAGGACACAAAAACACTGCAAGGAGAATCATTCTCTTTTGACCAAAATCCCCAAAGATACCATTTGCTCAAGAATAACTTCTCCCAGAGAACCATTTCTTCTAAAAGAATAAACTTGGTATTTTCAGCAAAAATCAATTCTCTGAAAGCAGAAACAGTTCTGCTGGGGAATCCCCCACCGTGGCACAGACAGCCCCACTCCCAGCTCTCACAGAGGTGATTCCCAGCACGATTGCACATCCCATGACAGACCCTGGAGGTGAGGCGGATCATTGGCTGCACAGGAATTCTGTCGCAGAGGAAGGTGCAATGGGAGATGCAGTCTAGCTGTGAAATTGGTCAGGCGCTGCAGAAGTAGCACAAATAACAAAGTTTCCTTTGGTCCCTATGAAGCCATCACTGCTGGAGAGCACTGGCAAATATTTTTGTCTGACAGATGTTTGCCAAGCTCCATGTGATAGAGAGGGAACATCTGTGAGCCAGGGCTGCCCTCCCTGGGCAGGAGGAAATCCCACTGCTGTGTGTTCCCCAAAGCCTTAATGGGGTTTGTACTCGAGAGCCACACTGTGCGCTCTCACCTAAGCTGAGCACTTCAGGCTCTCTCCTTCAGTAACTGCAGTAATGAATTAATTTTGCATGCAGTGCTAACTGCCATAATATTAATGGCTAACAATAACAGTAATGGCTTTACTGCTGTAAATCTTTACTTGCAACCCTTGAGGACCCCAAACACTTCCAGTCTCCAAGAATACACAGTTTGCTCAAGCCTCCATTGCTGCAGTACACATTATTTCACTTATCTGCCTGTGTTCTCAGGAATGAACGATGCCTTCGAGACAGCTTTGTGAGGGGAAACTGCAGCCTGTCTTTTCAAGTAATGTACAGCAGGCACAGTGCAAGTAATGCTCCTCAATACAGGCAGCTGCTGCTTGTTATCATGGAAACCCTATTTGAAGCATGACCCCATGGCACACTGCAGTGGGGAGCACCAGGGGTGCTCAGCAGGGCGGATCAGGGAGCAAACCCCACCAAGCACACACGGAGCACAGCATGAAGACCCACTTTTAAGGCAGAGGGTCCCAAGTCCTCTGGTATAACAGGCTGACAAAGCGTTACAGCAGCCTTCCTGGAGTGGCTCAGCCCCTTCCATGACCAATAGATCCCACAGTCTGCACACCCCACACAGTTCATACACGTTTTCAGGCTGTGGGAGCAGCAGGGAGGGCTTGGCACAGCCTTGTGCTCTTACCAAGGATAGCTGGAACACTCCTGATTGACCCAGTTTAAATAGAAGTGATGGGTGCTCCTCCTCTGTGACAGGAGACAAATGAGGCACATAAGCAGACTTAGGCAAGGTTACGCTCCTGCTGTACTTCAAATTGATTCACTGCGAGGTCAGCTCTGTTTGGCAGTCCTTGATTCTGCTACAATTCTGATATCACAACAGGTTTGGGATACTGCAACAGGCAGATTCCTGCTCTAGCCATGGCAGTGAATGAAAAGCAAATGAGCTGTATTCTCCAAAGGTCTCAGTAGAAAAGAAGCCAGCAAATAACACACAATAAGACTAAGTGCTGCTGTTTGCTTTTCTAATAAAAAAGGATTTCAGAAGGTATCAAGAGTGGGATATTTCACATACTTTGTTCAGAGGAAGTTCAACAACAACAAAAAAAAACCAGAAAGGACTGAAAGAACTGATTTTTGAAAAGAGCTGAACAGGACTGAAAAAATAATCCTTTAACTCTGTATCCCCCTTTTTTCTACCTAAGCTCCTTAGAGCTTCATCTGAATCCCTAACAAAGATGCATTTCTATCAAAAGCTGTGAGTTCAGAGGGCTGCTTTGCGTTCATGCTTTCCCCCTGTAATGATGAGGTTCTGCCAGCTCTGTTTGTACCTCCTTTGCGGTGAGGGAAGAAATACATTTGAAGCCACGGGTATCAAAACTACAGTTAAATGTGTTAAAAGATGTTGCTCTTGCCTGACCCCCATCAAACCTCAACCACCTTCCCCTTCCTACACCCGCTGCTCCCCAGCACCGCACGTGACTGAGATTAAAGCCATTTCCATGGATTAATGTGCTCCACAGAGGACTTACCCAGAGCACCATTAATGCGTCTGGGCATTACCCCACATTCAGAAGTGCTCACAGCAAACCAACTGAGAGCAAGTAGGAGCAGAGGACCACTCAGTTGCATCCCTGGTGAGCAGAGGAGCCCCAGCTGGTACGTAGCATGCAGGACCTCTAACCACTGCTGTTACACAGTTGCAGAAGTGCATCTCTCCAGAACTACCTACCTGTGCGTTTGTAAGTTATTCTGGGTATGGGGGGTGATGGAGGTTAGTTAGGAAAGATCAGGAAGTGAACAACAGAAACATAAAGGTTTCTGCTTATTGCAGTGATCTCTGAAATATGAGTGGAAAAGCCCAGTGGAAGCTGCATGTTTCTGCAGCCAACCTCGACATGCCATCACTACTCAGGGCAGTGCTGCTGTCCCATCACTCAACACTGCTGGGGACAGCAGAGCTCTGCCAGCTCCTCCTAAAGGCATTTCTCATGCAGCACAGCCTGCAGTGCTGTGTGTGTTTGGGCTGACAGGAAACACCCTGCTAAATATTAGCTACAATGCAGCCAGTCAGTTACCTTCAGTGATTTAAATGGAAAGGACTAATGGCTGTATTACATAAATTGCTTTCTGTAACCTCCCCTGTAGCATGCTCAGTGTTGGTACGGGAGGGAATGCTTCTCTTGCTGAAGAGAATCAACACATTCCAGCTGTAAGTGGGAGCAAGAAAGATTTGTTGAGGGTAGGATTGCTTTGCCACCCTGGCTCAAGAAGGGTGTTTTCTTCAGACTTTGATCTATCTGGGTTGCTTAAACAGGGCTTGTAAAGCAGTCTGAAGACAGCAGGGAAGATTTAAAGAGGAAGAAAAGGAGCAGCAAAGTTGGGAATGTTTCCAAGGTTGCAGCCCAGATTGTGCTGATTGGCTTCCTCTCATCTCTGTGATAATTATCTGTTGATTTGTATGTCTGGATTAATCCAAAGATTTCAAGTGAAGGCTGAATCAGGTCTACCAGAATCGTGGTAACATCTGTGACAGCCCCAGCAGGAAAAGCCAGCTGGATCAGAGAACCTCTTCCATTTCTCCCCTTCACACCATTCCACAGGGCTCTGAGCACCTCTGCCCAAGGCACACGTGCAGCTCAGGGTGTGCAGGCAGTGGCACGGAGGCATTCTGCTCTGCTCCAGCACTGACACTCAGAGCTCACACTGCTGCAGAAAGAAGCACAACACAACAAATACCAACAGCAGCTGGAGCCACACATTCCTGCACACAGGGAAATTAAGGTTAAATACTGCAGAGCTTCTGAGAACCGTGCGTTGTGCAGCAATGTTTTCTTTTTGCACAAACTATGCATTAACATGAACACATGGAAACGGAGTCAAGAAAAGCAGACTTGAAGATTGTTTGGAGAGTGACCCCATTCCCTTCCTCAGGTTCTTGCTTAAAGTTTAACTATGCAGCTACATTCACCACCAATACGTTCAGCAGCAAACGTTCAGAACAGTGAAAAGCTATGGCACAATGACCTTCATTTCTTCATCCTCTTTTATGAGCAGAGGTTTCAGTGTAAGCACAGGCTGTGACACAAAGCAACAAATTTGTATTTTACTTCTGGCTTTATGAAATGTAATTCATGCTTATCAATAACATTATGCCTTTGCTACTGGTTGCTGCATCAAAAGGTAAATCTGTGGTCTCTGTAACTACTCTATCTAATGGAGAGATTTATTTTAGCTATCTAAAACATTAAGCAGCTTCTGCTTCAGAGTAAATGGAAGAAAATCTTTGCTAAAGAGCAGCTCGCTCCTGCATGGTGCAGAGACACGACGTATCCACTCAGAAGGAGCACAGTCTTCCTTTACCAGCAATTAGGAGCCAGCTTTACTACTGGCACAAGCAGAGCATCTACCATTTAAAAACTGAATTGAAGCAAGGCAAATTTTGCACTAACTCATGTCAGTAGATGCAATCCAACACAGTGGCACAGAATGAACAGCAATCAGCTGCACAGCCCCCAGCACCTTCTGGTCTGGGATGCACTGCTGAAGCGCCACACGTGCCACAGCAAACATCCCAGCCTGTGAATGGCTGAGGATGCTTTGTCCTCAGAGATGCAATAAACTCAAAATACTCTCTGCTTGAGTCACCAGCGAGGACATTTTCCCACCATGTTTCTGAGTTGTTTTAAGCTGAAGCATTTTGCCCCCAAGAAATGTAATTACAGCACACAGCAAAGTTCAGCTGCACAAGAAGAATTTTGTTTAATAAAGGCTAAAGAGGCACACAGGGTACATTCCCAGGCTGGGTCAGCTCATCTAACACATCTTCTGTTAGAAAGGAAGACATTTTGTGCCTGAGGGGTCATCAATTCTAAAGTGGATTATCTCTAAGAATATCCCTATGTTTGGGGTCAAAATCTGCCCACGAACAGAGCAGGCCATCTGCAGCTCTGCAGTGCATGAACCTCACCCCACACCTACATCAATGACTGACTGCAGAACTGGGACACTTCTGCACGT